GAGTTGCTAGCCCCTGAAGGATCTTGAGTTCCTACGTGACCCCCAGGCTAAAGGACAGAAGACAGCTAGAGTTGTGAAGGATCAGGAATCAAGGTGTGTATCTCCTTGGGAGATAGGAGCCAGGATTCTGGGTGCCACCTGGATGGCCTGATCCAAGTTACAGGCTCTGGGGGCTCTCAGCCCTCAGTCCTGGAGCAGGGAAGTCTATAAAGAGGAAGGGTTAGGGCATCGTGTTATCACTAGGGAATCTCGTGGAGGCTCAAGGCCCCTGGAGCCAGAGAACTCTCTTGGGATAGGAGCCCTAGCGGCTACCAGGACATAATCTAGGTCCTTGGGCATGATCCTGACTTTATGACCCTACCATGGGAGACACGCCAGGCACCTTGTGCTGGGAAAGTGTGAGGTCTTTTCTACCAGGGAAGGTATAAAGCCAACTGAGGTAGACACTGGGCCCTCTTCCCATCCGGCCTTCCTCTGACAGAGATGAGGTGGGAGTCCCTCAGGGATAAGATGCTAGAGCACTGCCTCCTCTCAACACACTTGATGTGTGTTGAGACATCTGATGACAGTAGACTAGAATATCTGAGGGGGCTCGGGATCCCAGGGCCTGAAAGGAGACAGACCCAGGGATCAGAGGAAGGGGCACAGCTGCCCTGCCAATCCCTCCCCAGAGCACCTGAGCTGGTCTTAGTCCCCTCCTCCTCCCTACTTCCTTCCTCCCCATCACACTGAGCCTCCTGGGGTTGTGTCAGGGTAAGACAGGGGCATTGTCCAAGGGGTATGGTCCAGCAACCCCAGGCATTGATTTCTCAATGCCAAAGCAGTACAGGAAGGGCTCAGTTGAGAGAGCCCTTGGGGCACTGACTTCCTTGTCACTCTAGGGGCCAGAGGAAGTCAGACCCATCTCCCCCTCCCAAGCCCAGGTCTGGTCTCAGAGAAAGAAGGCCTCTGAGGGTAGCTCTATTAGAACCCTCAACTCCCAACCCCTGCAGCCTGCACTGTGGTTGGACCCACCTGCAGGGAGTCTAGGAGGTAGGTGTGGGAAAGTGGAAAATGTCAACACCTCCATCCCCCATGGGGAGGCTAGAATCCTGCCTTTTGCTGCAAAGTGGTGCTTGTACTCTTGCTGGCAGGTGAGGGGGCTTGGGACCTAAAGCTGGGCTCCACACCAGATGAATGTTCACGGCTGCATTCAGGACCATGCAGAGCCACCAGATAAACACAGCAGCCTTCCTTTACCATCATTTTTACTCAAATATTGGGGGTCTCACCACTATTTTTAATGAAAACAAACACTAACGCGTTACGGAGAAGAATGAGCTTTCAATGAGAACACGAGATGTTTCAAAGATATTTAATTCTTGAGACAAACAATTCAAGCTGTCCCCCAGACTGTGTGAGTTCCTTGTCCTCTGTTGGTGGAAATGTTTGAGAAATGTTAAAATAATGCATTTTCCCTCCCTGGATACCTGTTATTTTGATAAAGATTCATTGAGGCTTTATAACCCAAAGGAATGTCTCCTATCTAATGGTGGGGATTTAGTCCATGCGGCTGATGACAGCAGACTAGAATAACGGAGCTAGAAGAGACTTCAGAGATCAAGCCAGGTCCATCATGAACAGAGAAGCTCTAAAGAAGGGTTGCAACCTGTCCAAGGTCACATAGCTCCATTTCAAGGCTGCCAAACTTACTTGCTTTGGAAACAGTTTTAGCAACCACCCAATACATCTTGCCCCCAAGATCCAGAGCTACAGCTCAGAGCAATCCTCGTCTCCTCAGGGACAGTGACAACCTTCTGGGATTCAGTTCACCTACCCATCTATCCATCCCTCTACAGGTGACACCAGAACCAGACAGGCCCAAGGAAAAAGTTGTCCACATTCAGCTTTTTGTAGCACCTGCTTTCTGTTCTCTGATCTTGGCAATGGCCTAGTTACTTCTCTCTACCCAGGCATCTCTGAAGTTATTATCATCCTATTATTTTATATTAGTCATTAATTATGGCTTGTATTAGGGTCCTGACAGGAAACAGCTGGCACACTCAGACAAGACTCACTAGAAGAGAGTTAATGGAAAGACTATTTATGGAGGGCTGGTGAAGTGCCCGGAGACTAACACCCAACCACAGAAAGTCATTACCACCCATGTGTCTAAGGGAGAGGAGAGGAGGTGGTGTTGCTGGAGCCAGTGAGAGCTGGAGCTGTGAAAGCCCCCCACTGCAGCAGGAGAAGTGCAGCCACTGGCAGAGCTGCTGTGGGGAACCGAGGGAGTGTGGGAGGAATGCCCCACCTTTTTCTGTGTCTCCTGTCTTCTGCCAGGACCTCCCACTGGCCAAAGCCATCTGGAAGCCAGACAGCAAGGGAGCCTGGTAAGGCAGTCAGTGCCCAGGGGATATCTTCCCAAGTGGAAGAAAAGCAGAGAGAGGCAGGGATGAGGACAAGGATACTAGCACATAGCTAGCTTCTGTTTTCATTTTCTACTCTGCTTGTGAAGTGCCATACTAGCCATTCCTGGTTGGTT